GTTGAGTTTATGAATTGAACATAGATTTGTTAAACTCATCATTAGCTATTGTTTGTGTTGATAGTTTTTATCCCACAATTATTTTTATTGATTCCTATTCACCCCTTCTAGGAATATTAGCCATATTTAGGGTCTAACACAATTGATGAGGATAGTGGATAGGAGACTTTGTTAAGGAAAGTTTGTTCTTTTTGTGCCAATCATGACATTGACGTTCCTAATATGGATGATAAGTTTTTTATTCAAGGGCGATCCCAACGTAAGGCTCAAGGTATCACAAACGTGTATCATTAACGCATTGAATTATTTTATAATGTCTTAGATATGCAACTTCAAGAGTTGAATAATCGTTTTAATGAGGTAGGCACTGAATTGCTTATTTGTTTGGCATGTTAATGTCCAAATGAATCATTTGTTGTTTCTGATAAACAAAAAATGATGTGCCTTGCCGAACTTTATCCATAAGATTTTTCTGACTTAGAACTTATGACACTTGATTCCTAACTTGATGTTTACATTTTAGATATGAACTATAATGTCAAATTTATGGGAATGAAAGGGATTGGAGATATTGCAAAAATGATGGTTGAAACTAATAAGGAGAAAGTGTTTCCATTAGTTTATTTTTTGATGAAATTAATATTGATTCTACCCGTTGCCACTGTTAGTGTAGAGAGAGCATTTTCAACAATAAATTTTATGAAAAATTGTTTACGAAATAGAATGAGTGATCAATGGTTGAATGATAGTTTAGTTATGTAGATAGAGAAAATGTATTTGATAGTATTGATAATGAAGTCATTTTACAATACTTTCAAAAGATGAAATCCCGTCGAAGACAATTATAAATATATTAATTAATGAAAATTTTATAGATACAAAATTTGTACTTATTTTAATTTAAAATTATATTGTTCTTCCAACTTTAACCCACATACGTTTTGTTTTTTGCTACATCCCTGCAAGAGAGGCAATAGTTTTTTTTAACATTGCGGATTCTGTGACTTACAAAAAAAGCTCATTTTGTTGTAGGTTTTGTCATCTATAACCAATGATCCAAGAAAACAACAAAATTAAGAGGTAAAAGCTCCTTATTGATATTTAAATATTTTGGGTGAAAATCTATTTATATAGACATGTAATGTCTATCATAGATGAAATGAAACCCCTTTTACACACACACACACACACACACACACACACACACACACACAAAATAATACATAAACCATATTAAATTGGGCCAGGCTACTTTACAAAACTCTACAGGCTCAACTGGGCTTAAATTGTAAGCCCAGCTAGCTTTGCCTTCAATTTATTACAACATTAAAATTATAGCCTTTTTTTTTGGGTGAAAGCCTTGAGTATCCCCATAACTGAGGGGATAAGACTAATCTTGATCAAGGCTTAGGTAAGTACCTATGACCACAATGTGCTTTCAATGGTTCGAATCTCTGACATTGTAGATAATATTTATCTTATTTGGAGCCCAATTATCAATTGGATTACACCTCATGGTTAAAATTATAATCTTTTAAGTATAAATTTTAAGAAAACTAATCTAGAAGTTTATGACAAGAAAAGAAGAGTAGCTGATAAATGCAAGTTAGTGCACAAATATTTTTCAAACATGCAATGATATAGGAGGGAAAATGAACTTAACTTTATTGAAAGTAGTGCTCTAGGCACTAGAAGCACATAATATGCTTATTAACATCAATAGAAAAGCAAAGTCCACATTTTGAAGTTTGATGTGGAACCAACAAGTGAAAATTAATTAAGCTGAGCCAGCAACACACAGCCATTGGCCAACAAAGAGTTCATCACAGTTGAGGTTTGGGTTGATTGCACCAAATAAGTCTGCTGTCAATCCGAATGCCTCTGCAATGGCTGAGCATGTATCCCCACTGTTCACCCCAGTCACTGACTCACATTGTGGGGCGCTTTTCGCCTTCAGGAACCCAGCTGCACATTTCAAACCAAATAAATACATTACCAATGTTTCATAAACATATAAAAATTATGCAAATATTCACATCTATTAATAATAATTTGACGTTTAACAGTGGAATATTTACCGCCGAATGTTCGGTGGCCTTCAGCCACAGAGATAGCGAGGAGAAGTGCAAGGACTAAAGCCAAATTAAGAAACACAGATGTTTTGGTGGCCATTATTTTTCTGTATTTCTTACTACTACTTTGTTATTGAAGCTATTTCTTTTCTGGGTTATGGAGATCTTAAACAAACACTCCCATTTATAGTAAAAATTCCATGGAAGAGACATAGCAATAGGCCAAGAAGCCGTTAATATTTGAGTTGTTCACAAGAAGCCGGCTTTACTATGACTAATTGTTAAATAATAATCCAACTTTGGTTATTTTTACATGTAATTCAACAAAGAAACGACGGACTACTTTAACAAGAGGGAACAAAGTAACGGAATGTTCAATATTTGATCTTCTCCTGGCAAAATTTATATCAAACAAAATTATAAATAAAGTTTCATCAAAATGAAAAAAAAAATTTATAATATATTTATCGTAAGCGATATAGAGAGTAACTCCCGATATAACAGTAAGAGCAAAACATATAGGCGGATGGATTTATCATGTTTCCATTGAAATAGAATCGCACAAGGAAAAACACTTGCCCTTTGTTAGTTATTAGGCATCTCGAGAACATATAGGTTGAAATATGGCTTTCAAATTAGTTGTGAATTAATGGATGATATCAAAGGGAGTAGCTATGCCTAATTCATAATGAAATATTTCTTCTTTTTCAGAACAATTTTTTTTTTTTTTTTTTTAATTCATTGTTAAGAAAAATAGATGTTCTGATAGGGATTGACAAATCTTAAATTATAAAGGTTAATAACGTGGATTTGTGAGACAAATCAATAAACGAATAGTATGCAGCCGGCAAGACTAAGATAATATGAACAAATTAAATAATATATTTCACTATTTTGCTTTTAGAACAATGGATTATTGGATGTGTTTGTACAGTCCTGAATTGTGGGCTAAGCTTAAGCTAGAGCAACAATGACATCTCAGTTCTGAAAATGAGAAACTTCTTGATATATTCGGCTTTCTGCTACATAGTCCAGTAAGCTTAGCTGCTTGAGGGCCATAAGGAATTGCTTTTTGTGACAGTGTTGTAGTCTCTTCTTCCCAACAATTGGTCTTAGCTTTGTGCCCAGCAATTCAAGTACATTACTGTGTGGAGAGAGTCTTGGGCCTCATTTCTGTTTTGACCATCCCTGAAATAAAGCCCATTCCCATCTTCAGATGACTCACTGGAGGAACTAGAATTTGTGTATCTCTTCTTGGTAGCACTGAGAGGTCGAACAGTGGAGTTCCATTTGGAGCTGTAATCAGTTTGACCTTCCACTGCGGCCACACTAGCTGCCATGCAAGCTCTTCTGAGATAACTCATCTTTGATTTCACTTCTGTGAAGTCTATTTTTTTTTTTTTGCAATGTAAATTCAATTTGTAATACCTTGCTTTTTGCAGTGTGTGTAGAAGAAGTTTATTAAGTTGTAGAGACATATATAGAGAACAAGTGGATAGTTTCAGTTGGCGAGAGAAGCGGTTTTGGCCCTTCTGGGGATATTTAATTAAAAGCAAAACCACTTGTGGCAGCCATGGTTTATGGGTTTACCAGTGGCGGGGTTTTGTATGAATTGGTGGTGTCAACTGTCAAAAGAGGATTACTTGGAAACTTCATCTCGAAAGTTATCTGCAATGCCACCACGCTTTGCATGCACAAATTAACAATGGAACTTAAAAAAAAAAAATATGCCCAAAATTTGATTAGGTGATATGATATGGATACGATTTCTTTCATTATTAATGCTACATGTAAATTTAAACGATATTTGATCGGCCTTTGCTAATTGGAAAACACTGGCAATTTTATATAGGCCCAATTTTGGGTAATTCAATATTAGGGAATGCGTGGGAGTGGGATGATTTGGTACATTTATGAACTGTATGGCAGGTGAAGAATCAGACGGTGATTTAAAGCTGGGATAGTGGCATTCTGTGTCTCTTGCATAACCGCATGAGCGATGAGCGTGTGGCACGACATCCACAAGGACCATAACACTTTAGAAAGAAACCGACTGAGAGTAACCGACCAACCAGCAGAGGAAACAACAGGAGAAGGCGAAAAGTTTTTTTTTTTAATATTGCGGATTCTGTGACTTACAGAAAAAGCTAATTTTGTTGAGGTTTTAGTCATTGTAACCATGATCCAAGAAAACAACAAATAAAGAGGTAAAAGGTTTCCCTCTGTCCCTATGAGCTTGTGTGTGATCAACCTCTACAGAGAAAACTACAAACACCTAGGAAGTACAGAGATTAATGAAATTCCTATCTCGTATAGCAGATGCCACACTGGAAAAAAGTTTACATTGTATAACAACATATCGCCACTCTGTGATTACGCTTCATTTGCAATTTGAGCCAATAAGTCAGCTTTAAGTAGAAGGAAAATTGTAAGGTTGCAACTCGCAAATTATTTGCCGCTTAACTGTAAGTCTCATCACTGCAATCTTATATGCTATGCGAGATTAATTATTCACCAATAAACGACAATTAAATTATTAGGGGAAAATTTTGAGATTAAGCACTAGACCAATAAAAATAACTACTTGAAATAACATTTATAAGGATTCCTCCTCCCCCTTTCTCAAGGCTGTCAGCAATATAATAGATATAATATAATCAAACATGCCAACCATTGATTCAGCTTCAGCTACCAACTAGTGTACTACACTCATATAGAACAGTTCTATTTTGCAGACAATCAAATTATGTTATCTACAAGATGGAACCTAGCAAAGTTTATAACTCCTCAAATGACAAAATTCAACTTACAATTTTACCACAACAGATTTTTCAGTTTCCTACATGACTTTTGCAAGATATCATTCACGTTACAAGTAAGATTGGAGAGATATATACTCAACAGTGAATCATTTCATTCTTGTTTTAATCATGGCAAAGCAAACAGAAGCATAACCATTCTATACTGATCTACTCCTTCAACCTGCTGTCGAGCAAGGTATCTTTCCCTACGCTGCTTCTGCCACGAAGGATAATAGACAGACAGAACCCATACAATTTAAGCAATAGTTTACAGTTGTAAAATTTAAATGATATTAAGATAACTACATTCATCTATCACACGCCCTTCACCAATAATCTTAGGACCTGCATCTTCTGAGGCTTCTTGCGGCTGCAACTGCAGCATCACATCTGCCAACTCGCTTCAACTTTTCCAAGCCTTCAGAATATAAAGAGCACAACCACATAAATTGGAATTCTCTAAGCAGACATTGAATAGGGCAGTGTCTTTCAAATTATTTGAGTACGAATGATACTTACAGGATCAGCACGCTCGGGATTGAGAAAGACAACTCGCAATATTTGCTCTTGTTGCTGCTTGATCCTTTTGCTCATCAAACTGCAGAAAATAAAATTACTTAAAGCAGCAAAGTAGTTTGCAAAGTTCACAAGTGTCCCTCATACAAAGGCAAAAAGCAACTTAAAGTATGATCCAAAACCCCCGTTTTGTGCATGCCCCAATCAAAAAGCATTTAGTTGTTCACAATAAAGGCAATACCTAATATAAAACCAGCTAGCTTTCAACAAGAGATGCTACTTCATCATGTATGGACTCTGCATACAAAATCCAGTAAAATTATCCAATCACACCAGCAAAATTAGATGCTGAAGGAACTGGCCCCCCAATTTATTTATACTTCTCCGTGGAGACAACAGGCCACTCACAAATTAGCTGCCTACAGTAATATATAGTCTTTAGATTATAAAAATGCCCTACGAACGAGGCACTGAAATACTAACACTATACATAAAATATCCTCCTGCAGCAAGTTAATTGATAAGAACTTCTAGCCGTCGCCAGTATAAATATAGACTGATCACGAAGTAATTTCCTAAAATCATTACATGCTCACCAAGACTATTTTTTAACAAACCATCATAATGCATAATGTTTATCAAAGTATTAGTGTGTATTTCTGTCAATACATCAATATAAAAGCATTACACAAATGTAAATGTAGCAATTGTATTCAATGTGAAACGCACCAGTTCAGGAACATAGTCCATCTCTCCTTTCACCTTCAACTGCACTTTTAAACTTATCCCTACTCTTTTGATCCATTGGCTTTTCATTGTTCTCTGGTACCTCCACAAACTTGAAGACAATAGATCCTTCAAATCAAGCAAAAAAAAACCATAAGCAATCATTAAACAATAGATAGTACCATAAATTACAAGCAAAACACCAACTTGAACCAACTTAAAAAAAAAACATACCATGTCTATGAGACTCTCGCCAGGAGCAAGAAGCACCCGAGGACGCATAAAGCAGCTTTTTGGTGCTGTGGTTTGAAACTAAAACAACAATGACAAGCACTCAATCAGGTAGCTATTGGATAACCAGAATCTAAACACAACATAAATAATACTTTAAGTAAAATCTTCAAAGCTGTGATGAACCTTGAAAGCTACATGTGATTGCCGCTGGTGTTTTAATCTTGATGCACTTCTCACTTGCTTGCCAGGTTCATCTTCAAACACAATAACACAACAGCATTTTAATAAAAGAATTTACACAATTCAGAATTTTTAATCAAATTACGAGCTTCAAGTCATGATTAGCAAATCACATTTTAACAAATTTAAAATATGAAAATAAGATAGTAAAAGAACATACAAGGAAATAGTCTTTTTGGCAGGGTCGAGTTTGAGGCGACGGCGAGTCGGCAAAATAGACCTCGCAACGAAGACACTGAATTGGAAGCATGCGGATTCCGATCCCTCCATGTGATGGTTAGTTTGATTGTGGTGGTGATGCAACGTGGAGGAAGAAGACGACGTCGTGTTACCTGATTGTCGAAACGGCAGCTTGAAGACCCCCTACTTTATTTCAACGGTGACTTCTGGTCAGCTATGGCCATTTCTTCTTTCACCACATACAGCACGTTATGATGTCTTTTCTGCTTGGCTGCTGTTGTCACTGCGGAGAGGAATCAGGAATTTGTTCAATTTAATTACTCGATCAAATCCGTTGCCTTTGCTTTTAAGTTTTAAGTACTTGACTTGACTAACGCGGAACGAGAAACAGGAGATGTAGCAAACGACGTCGCGTAAGCTGTTTGCTTGGGAAAAAAAGTTTTATAAGTAGGTGCTTTGTAGTTTCGCGTTTTTGGATTTGGTGGAATTAGTCGCGTAAGACAATTTTAAGAATGATTAATTAAGGCAGGTGATTGAACGCGTAGAAATTTGATGTAAGTCAAGTGAACCAACTAAATTTATAATTAAAAAAAAAAAAAAACAAAAAAGTGGGTTTTACTATTAGGATATTATCAATTAGGTATAAAATTTTAAAAATATTTCAATAGAAAAGAGGGAGTTATAAATCATTCAATTAAGGGAACAAAATTGTATTTCCTTCTATTAAGAGACAATAATAAATTACTTTGAGTTAGATTTAACTTTATATTAATAATAGTATACATTTAAATTATTTCTTTTTAAAAATAAATTAGAATTACTAAAAAGTAAAAAGAATATTAAATAATAAAAAAGGGGCTTGGAAGAGCTTTCTTTTCTTCTTTTAGTTCTTTTTAAATTTTTTTAAAAAAAAATTTTGGTCCTTATTTATTTCATTTTATTTTTATTTTTTAATTTAAGAACTAAATTTAGTTAACAAAAAGAAGTCACAAGAGCATCAAATCATCATTGGGTGGTCTGATGGTAAAAAAACAAAGAAATATCTAACATGATCTTCTAAGTTCGAGTCTCTTTGATAGTAAAAGAGTTAGAGAATGATCTAACATGATCTTCCAAGTTCGAGTTCCCACAGTTGCTAATAGGAGAGATCATTGGAGCTCTTATCCGAACCGTAGTTTTCGTGTCGAACACCTTCAGTCATTAAAAAAAAAAAAAGTGAAAAGCATCCTCTTTTCATTATTTTTCTTTAAAATTAACAACAAATCACCACTATATATCTCTTAATTGAAGATTTTGTTACTTTAGAAAAGTAGTGAAAAAGTTGTGTATGTAAATTGATAGTTATCCCTTTACTATTTGTTGATTAAGATGATGTAACATGTTTTTGGTGCACACCCCATTTGTAAATACTCAATAATTTCTTCTCCTCTAATCAATCACGGCTTGATGTTTGGGGATAACGGTGATTGATTAAAGATAGTTCCAAGGCAATAATTAAATTCATCACTGACTATAAGGCCACAAATTTCAAAATGGGTAGGTGAAAATTAGCCACAGTCTCCACAATAATACAAAAGTGTTGTGTAAAATGAGGCAAATGAAATTGTGAAACATAAATTATTGTAAATCTTACGATTGCACAAACTGGTGGAGCCAAAGGCATTGTTGCCCCTTACCCGTCGTAAACCTAATTTTTATTTGTTTAAAACAACCCTGCCAATCTCTTCTTCTTTGAAAAATTGGGTAAACTAATCACATTTCAAACTATATTTTAGACGCAACTTTCTTTCAAAATCTAGTTACAAACAAATGCTTAAGAACAAAATACCATCTTTTTCAACACCGTCATCTTTTATCGCTTTTAACAGTGAAAGAAATTAAGAAAACATTGGCCATTGAGCAACAATTTCACGTTGCACTAATTAATTTATGGGGTATTTTTATATAACCACGTTAAAAGTGCCTCATTATAAAGAGTAAACAACTTTTTTCCACCCAAAATAATGGTTTAATTACATTTCATATCCCCAGGCTTTTAAAATATTACTTTATTATCCAAATTTATATTTCGTTTTCAATTCTGGCATCATTGTAACCCCACATCACCAGTATTCTCTTCTCCGATTATCACTCACCAAAACCCCCTAAACCTTATTCCCACCGATCTTGCCAATTGTCGGCAATCGATCGATTAAAGTTTGCACAGCCGTCTCTCCCAAGTCAAATTCCGATCAATCCTAACCACTAAAATCTAACATTCTACCACCAAAATATTCATTAGCCTCCCCTTTTCAAAAGCCCCAATAGTCTTGACCGAGTTTGCTCTCTGTTCGCCATCGAAATATAAATTTGAATAGTAAAATGGTATTTTAAAAGTCTGTGGGTGGAAAAGTGTCATTAAACCATTATTTGGGTGGGAGAAAGTTATTAACTCAATTATAAAAGAAAACATAGATAAACTATATATTAATTTTAACACGAAAACATGGCCATTTTTTTTATGTTTTTATTTTGTTTTTGTTACTGGGGGTGTCCGGGCCAGCTTACGTGTACCTCGACTAGTCCCCTAACCCCGAACAAGGCTTCTGAAATAGGGCAAACCCTATGGTCTGTGGCCAATAGTATTAGCAACCGTTATTGTGATTCAAACTTGAGACCACAGGGGGAGCAAACCCCTTGGCCCAAGCCTTTACCACTTGGCCATCCCATTGTTGGTTTTTTTTTTATTATTAATTTTTTTTATTTGCTTTAGATTTAGCTTTAGAAACTCGTGAGTGGAGATATAGATGGGGCTTTTTATTAAAAGACCATATCAAGTTCAAATTTAATTAAAAGGCTATGAAGTTTCAAAGTGTTAACTAAATAGCCTCATTATTGATTAAGGGTAATTAAACATGATTAGTGCTTAATTAGGATTAATGAAGGATTCTGTAATCTTTTAAAAACTATACTATGTCCCAAAAACCCAAAATTATTGCAAACAAACCCAAAAATTTTCTTCTTCTTCCTCCCGCTATTAACGCATCAGAACTGTGCCCTCCCATGGTTGTTGTTTCTTCTTAGCTTCATCTACATCTTCTTCGCCATTAACACCTTCTTCTTCCTCTGCCATTAACATCTTTTCCGCCAAAGATCCGCCGTCTCCTCCTCTTGACATTTCATCCAGGTATGTGTATCTCCTTTTTGCATTTTATATTTTGATTTACAAAGATTTAATGATGGATTGGGTTTGGGTTATGATTTTGATTTAGTTGTTTAGGTTGTTGGGTTGTGTTTGATGTAATGCAAGTTAAGAAAAGTGAAATTTGTTGAATATTTTCTAGCATTGTAGGTAGCTAGGGGTGGTAGCACCGATTGTAGATGGAGATGACAGAAAATAAGTTTTGGATCTGATGGATCGCTTAAGCGATCTGGTATGTCTAGTATAATGCAGCAAATCGCAAATTGCTTAAGCGATCAGGTATATGGTAGAAGATCGCTTAAGCGATTTGTTATAAGTCTAGTAAATGGCTGCAAATTGCTTAAGCAATCAAACATATGGCATAAGATCGCTTAAGCGATCAGGCTTATTTATACCAGATCGCTTAAGCAATACACCACATTACTTAAGAGACTTTGTAGATGCTTTTTAAAATCTGTCAACCCTTAATATATCGATTAATAATTTTTTTTCTTGTATTATAGGTACTTGGCTATTATTAGACATGGGACAAGTTGTTTTGGATGTTGAATATTTTTGTGAGTGGGTGGAGGAAGAAAGTTGCTGGAAGTGGATTGGGAAGAACAAAGAAGTTATACCAATTGTTGTGAGCAAAGAGGTTAATTTTGACAAATTGATTGATGAAATAATTAGAAGAGGTGATTTGAGTTGCTCACGTAGTGATATAGTTGTGAAGTATGTTTTAAGCAGAGTTCTTGAACATTTTAAGGCACCCCTTGCTCTATTAAAGTCGGATGAAGGTGTGAAGTTATATATGCTTTGATGTGGACGATAATGGTTTGAGGGCAATTTTAAGGGTTTCTTTTGTGGATAAACCGTTGGAAGTTGGTTCAAAGGAAGGGGATAACGAGGAAGTTGGTGGAGAGAATGCTGGTTTTAATTTTAGCTATGAGGGCATTGATTTCTTAGTTGAAAAATCAAGAGTAGGTGGTGATTTGGGTGGTAAGGAGGACATTGTAGAAGATGTTGGTCATGTGGGGCAGAATGAAAATGTGGACGAGGAGGACGTCATACATGTTCCCACAAATGTAGAGATTCCTATAAATGCATATTATGCAGAAGGTGTAGTTTGTGAGGAAGAGAACACTATGGTTGTTTTTGCAGGTTCAAAGGCAGCAATTACAGGTACTACTAAATCACCTTATGTTTTTATTGATGGATTAGACTTGCACGTAGGGTATTTATTTGACAACAACAAGAAAATGGTGAGGAAGCTAAAACTTGTTGCTGTGAGAGGTAATTTTGAGTTCATCACTAAAAAGTCTAATTCATCGGTAGTGACGGTCGCATGTTGGACCAAAAGTACAAGTGGCGGGTTTATTATAAAAGGTTGACAGAGTCTGAAAAATTTATTGTTAGCACATATACCCGTGAGCACACATGTGGGATTAGACATATTTCGGGCGAGCATCGACAAGCTTTTGCTAATTTTATGGGATAATTTCTCAAAAGTCAGTTTGTTGAAGGGAAAGGTCCATCTTCTAAGGACATTCAGAGACTTGTGCGCATAGAGTTGGGATGCGATGTTAGTTACTGGAAATTTTGGAAAGGGAGACAACATGCATAAGATTTTGTGGGGGGCACACTAGAGCACGGGTATGCAGTATTAGAAGCGTATTGTTATATGCTTGAGTTGACAAACCAATGTAGCAAGATGGCTTTGAAGTGGGAGAAGAATATAAGGTTTAAATATTTTTTTGTTGCCTACGGTGCTGCTATAAAGGGTTTTGTAAACATTAGATCGGTGTTGGTTGTTGATGGTTGCTTTTTGATGGGAAAGTATGGAGGTACATTGTTGGTGGCCACTGCACAAGAGTGCGAGAATAACACATATCCTTTTGCATGGTATGTGGTTGACTCAAGGAAGGACAAGTCATGGACTTCGTTTTTTCAGCAAATACTTTTGATAGTGTCTGACAGTGACGAGTTGTGCATAATATCCGATAGGCACAACTTTATAAGGAAGGGGATTGCCACTATTTACCCTCAAGCACATCACGAATTTTGTATGAAGCATCTTGGCGAGAACATAAAACAAAAGTTTAAGTGTGTTGACCTCCTTCAAACATACTACATGGTAGCAAAAGCTTATCAAGTTGATGAGTTTGAGAAGCACTTCTAGCAAATTCAAATCAAGGATGATAGAATTGCTAAGTATCTAGAGCATGATGTTGGTTTCGAGCGAGCTTACTTTCCTGGAAGAAGGTTTGATGTCATGACCATGAACATAGCTGAGTCCATAAATTCGAAGTTGTTAATAGAAAGAGAGTTTCCAATTGTTGCCCTTTTTGATGCAATCCAGAGGACATTGTCACAGTGGTTCCATGAGTGTCGTACGGAGTCAGATAATTTTACCACAACCCTTGTTCCGTCAGCTGAAAAATTATTGCTAGAATGTATGGAACTGTCAAATGCACTATGTGCCTATCCTCTCAATGCTCAAGAGTTCACCGTCCGCGGCTATGGTCCGCATGGCCTAATTAACTTTCTTAGTAAAACTTGTAGTTGTAAAGTGCTTGACATTCAATATTTACCTTGTCCTCATGCACTAGCAACACTGAAACACCAATGCAAGCCGAATTTTGGTTCAAGAATTTACATGGAACTTTGCTCCCCTATTTATATGGCAAACCAGTACATGTGGGCTTATTAAAAAATGATATATCCAGTTCCTCAAGAAGAGCAGTGGTGATGTTGCCAGAGTTACTTGACATTATCATTCATCCGCCATTCAAGAAGACTGAAAAGAGGAGAAAAAGAGTTAAGCATATTCCATCAGCCTGTGAGGTTCCTTGGAGGATGAATGAGTGCTCAATTTGCAAGCAACCTGGTCAAAAAAAAAAAAAAAAAAAAAACAGTTGCCAGAATCGATCACATGCAAATCAAGAAAATTAGTTTCGAATCGATCAAAAGCAAGCAAGCAACATGCCGTTAGATCTATAGATAACAGCAGATTGCTTAAGCGACATTCTGCTGCTTAAGCAATTTGCTATTATCTACAGATTTGAATAGCAGATCGCTTAAGCAACAGAAGATTGCTTAAGCAATCTGTTACTCATATCAAATCTAGTGAACACCAGATTGCTTAAGCGATAGCAGATCGCTTGCTCAGATCAGATCTAGTGAATAACAAATTGCTTAAGCGATTTGATAAACTTATTATGTTTCTCTTGGCTGAATGTCAATCTTTTGTGGTGCATTAAATTGATTTTACGTCCTTGTATTTTAGCTATGCCATCAAGAAGAAGGATGTAATCGAGAAAGTTGCCAAGGCCAACCGTTGAAGACTTATTAGTGAATTGAGAGAATTGCCAAGGCCAACCGCTAAAGATTTGTTGTATGAGTTGTCTTTCAAACTGATTGATATGGATGGAGCTTGAAATTTATAATAGAATTTGAAATTTGTTGCAGGCTAGTTGTTTGCAACGGTTTAGGGTGGAGAGGGTGGGTTTGGAGTTAATGGGGGTTAGGATATTGAAATGAAAAATAATAATTAATAATAATAAATATTAGATAAATGAAAAGGACTAACAAAAATAATAGAATAACTGTAGATCATTTAGTTTTAGAACAGTGCTGTAACTTTGCAAAACCATCTACACAAACAATCTTTTGACTGGTCATTCAAA